TAAAACAATAGAGGTAAGTAGTTGTAACAGAAACCATACACCCCACAAAGCCTAAAATAGTTATATCTGGCCCCCTTGGTCTATGTATTTATTTCTGTCTTCCCACTCCCAGAACATAAAAACAAGTCTGTTTTGTTCACTGCTCAATTCACGACACCAGTTCCAGGCACATAGTAGGTAATTACTCTCTGCTACTGACAATCAACAGGCATAATAGGAGGTAAATAAATTGTGTTAACATGTACCCAAAGTTCTTAACTCAGCCGTACATCTGAAATCAATGCTTTCTGGGTATATTTGCAATGAACTCACGTAAAGAAATTTGTAAATGGCCAAAGAATGCTCCAGAAAGGATCTTGGCCCAAGGAACAGTTTTAATATAATGTCTTGGTCTCTATGAAAGGTTTACTGTGGGCAGAGCCCTATATTTTTTATAGTTCTTCTATGCTAAATGAGGCATGTACTAAATCATAAGGCAGACCTAGAACTGAGAATCTGAATAACATCTGGAGAATAAGAGCTTAGGGTAACAAATTTCTAAAAACTTGCTGTTAGGAGCACCAGTCTATGCTTTTTATTAATGTATTTGACTCTTGTCAGTTGATATTACCTGTTTTTTTAAATAACAATAAAAAAGAAACTCACTACAGCGGTAAAATGTTAAAATACTATTTCCCATCACTCTCTTTTAGTTTCTGTGAGTAGCCCCTAATTTTATTCTACATAAAATTCTCACTGAAGAAACCACACATTAACAAGCAGAAATTCTAATATTTTGAAACCCAGTCAATTCCTCTATGCCAGGCATATGTATCAGAATCAGCCAAAATCAACGTGTTGCTTTTCTGTCATTGTTTGCAAGACAAAGATGAACTTAATGGTGTTTCCATTTTAAATAACCAAAACAACAAGATAGAAAGCTTCACCCAGCAGATAATAATATACATATCTGGAATTTCATGAGATAGGTCCCCAGACTGAGCTGCCACTCTCTTGATCTACACATTCTCCAAGCCAAAACGGTGGGATGCTATTCCTCCAACTTTATACCATTTCAATTCATTATCTGCATTACAGCCTGCATGATTTAAAATGCAGTATACTCATGTTTCTCCTTGTCTAAAAATTATTCAGAATTTCCTTATTGACTTTAGGAGAAAGCCAAAGCTTTCATCATACAGGTAGCTCTCCATGAGCTGGCTCTGTGTGTCTGCCTGGCATCATGTCTCCCTTGCTACACCAGCCCCTCACTGCCCACTCCTCCTCTTGTTCTCAAGGCTGCACTTCTACAGTTCTGATGAGGTCTCACTCTTTCTCCTCCCTTCATTCCTCCTCTGTTACTTCTGGGCCTTTTTGTATGCTGTTTCCTTTCTTTCTGATTCTGATTGAAACACTTTCACTTTTACTTTGTTTAGCCAACATGTGCTTATTCTTTGAGTCTCATCTCAGACGTTACTTTCTGCAAATACCCTTTCTTGACTCTTGACGTCCACATTAACAGCAAAAGAAATGTATTGCATGAAAGATTCATGAAAGGAAAATCTCTACCTTAAGTTTGATGTTAAATTGGTATCTCCTCAAACAGAATCTCAGTTCTTAAAGTCAACATACCAAATACTGCCTTTAGTACTTGCCCATGCAATTCAGTTTGGGTCTCCCAATATTCAAGCGCTTTGCTACCAAAAAAATCTAGGAGTTGTTCCTTTAAGAAAATGCCTTGTTTAAAACATCATACTAACTACATTTCCATGAAACATATGTCTTGTTTTGAAAGCCTTCACTTTAAGAAAATCAGAAAGAGATCATGTTTGAAGATAAGTCATTTGTAGTAGCTCTAACACCTAGTAATTTGAGACAGTTCTGGGTTATTTTAGAGAAATACTTGTAACAGTAAATAAATTTGGAGATCATTGAACATAAAATTGCACATAAGGCTGGGCGCAGTGGCTCATGCCTGTAATCCCTGGACTTTGGGAGGCTGAAGAGGGCCAATCACCTGAGGTCAGGAGATCAAGACCAGCCTGACCAATACGGTGAAACCCCATCTCTACTAAAAATACAAAAATTAGCCGGGTGTGGTGGCACGCTCCTGTAATCCCAGCTACTTGGGAGGCTGAGACAGAATTGCTTGAACCCAGGAGGCAGAGATTGCAGTGAGCTGAGATTGCACTGTTGCACTCCAGTCTGGGCAACAAGAGCAACACTCCATTTCAAAATAAAATAAAATAAAAGTGCACATAAAATAAAAATGGAGCTCTTATGTATTTAATTGGGAATGTCTAGGAAGCACATGCCAGTTGGGAAGCACATTACATACATCAGTGCCTCCCTCACTAGCCTCTGGTTATGTGAAAATTGCTGGAATCTAAATGCTTAAAATGGTCTTTGCCACTTTTTTTATAACCTGCTGTGGAAGGGGGGTCAGGAAGGAGATCATGTTGAAATGATGATCAACTGAAAGAAACTGATCTGAGAAATGCAAACAAAAACAAGTAGAAAGGGCAATCTTGCTTCAGAGAGAAAATATTTCATAGCAAATTAGCCCCAAGGAGAGTGCCAATTCCAGCCTTGTACAGATCTGGCAAGACTTGATGGTGTTCTAAAGAGGAGAGATTAAGATTGAGGTGTGACATTGGACATAAAGAGCAAAGATGACTGGAGCATAAGTTCCATCCTTGGAAAAGTGCTTGAAATTAGGCAGGGAAAACCGGGCCCAGATGTGAGTAATGAGACTCAAGAATGAAGATATCTTGGCAAGCCTCCTTGCCAAAAGTCAGAAGGGCCAGAGGACTGAGGTTATTCTGGGGAATACTGGGAAAATGAACCGCGACCACAGACAGAAGGCTGCAGCCTCTAGGAGGAGGAAGAACTAAGAAGTTGGCACTATGTAGCCTCTGCTGGCCTCCAGGTGTTTCAGCCCTAGGTGCCAAGGTATGAGAAAGCCTGAACCTCTTAGCATTCTCCTGGAACTTCCTGAGTTCTAGAGTGGAAGGAGAGATGACCCTGGAAGGGGTTATACACACTAAAGCTCCCTCTCTTTATTCTAGGACTGAAAAAGAGCCCACTGGGGTAGCTCAGCTCCAAATTATTTCTTTGGGCATTGCAGAGTGTGAGAAATGTATGTGAGGAAGCATGCTTTGCTCTTGATTTTATTGCATTTAAACTTTAAGTAGGATAATGCCAATGCTGTCATTCGATACCTGCATTTAGAAAGAAAAACAAATCAAAATGGGGATGCTACTGCCAAAACTTAGCAAATTATCCTCCCTCCTTATACTCATCTCTGGGAAAAGATGGAAGGCAGAGGAAAGGAAAGAAGAGAACTCTGCATGATTTTTAGCCCCTCCAAATGGAGACCTGAACTTCCTTCAAAAAACTATCATGCAAACTCCATTACAAACCTCCAGAATAAAATCCATGATGCCTACGGAAATCATACTAACTTTAGCAATATTTTTTTGAAATTTATTCTAAAATAAGAATTATTCCTAGGGTTTTTAGAAAATACCACCTCGTCTATATAATCCAATACACACACCCCTTTAAAAGATACTGATGGAAAGTAAAAAACAAAAAACAATAATTTTATAAGACACAAGGAGAACAGCAGCAATTTCAGTAGTGAAAATAACAGAGGTACTCATATTATTTGAAGAAAACCTGTCAGCCAACATCTTCCTCTTGAACCAAGTGACACCTGAATAGTGAAAGGGGGAAACTTAACACCAGCCGGCAAGAGGGGTTCAATCGACTTTGGTGACGAATGGGGGTCGGGGCTGTCATGGTCAGATTAGCTCCACAGACTTAGGTTTCATGTTCATTTACAAGTAACTTGCTTCATAAGTCTATACAATGCCTTTCAACAGCTCCAAGAAAAGTCATGTCTGGTGTTTCTGTCACACAACTGAGTTATACTTGCATCTTGTACGACACATTTGCAGGTCTGTTGAAGGAATTTTAGAAGTAGATTTTCAGAAACTCACATCTGGTCTTTGTCAATTATTAACAGGGATAAGAAATTAAATTATATTGAACTGTCAAAATAACTAGTGGTATATGACCGATATTTACATTATTAAGCATTATCTTTACAAGGAAACAGAATCTACAAAGAAATCACATCCTCAAGATTTCTAACAGTTCTTTCAAATAGCACATCCTCATGTATGTGATGAATGAATGACAAAGCAAATGATGGACAAGGAAATACATTTAACCGTGCTCTTTTAGAAATCTAAACATTCTCATAATGTAGTTTCAATATACATTCATCTAGTTTGAAGTAGAATTTATAACACAGGGTTTCTCTTATAACTATTATAACAGACAAGACTTTCTCAAGTAAGCTGTGCTTTCTAGATATAATAATTAATATTTAAAAACTAAAAATGAGCCAGTTTTCCCACGTGCAATGCAACCTCAGTACATCAAAATCAAGTCCCATTCCATTTCCACCCTCTCTAACTTTCATCATACTGAAGTGTTAAAACATGACTGATACATCTGGAAGTTTGGTATGGTGTCAGGAGCAAAAATGTGGTAGAGGTCCATGAGGTTCCTTTTGCATTAAACTACAAATAGGAGTAGAAATGAGACATTCTGAAATTATATAGTGTTTCATTTTTTATTCTATAAGTGTGTTGTTTCAAACATTTGAAAGCAAAGACCAAGATGATATTGCATACAGAAGCTAAAACCCAGATATATACAAACAATTTTTAACAGGAAGTTCAACATTCCTGGAGCATAAGAATTTTACTAAGAAAATGACAAATATTATATTACTAGGTTACTGTCTTCTAACTACCCACAATAAATCTGAGATTGCCATTTTTAAAAAGTATCATGGGAAAAACAAAAGAAGAAAGTGTTTTAGTACCTCATGAAAAAAAGGTAAAATACGAACTTTTGAGTGCCCAACTTCCCTCATTTGACTAAAGGCCAAGGCACCACAGTGAAAGCAAAGTGGAGATTTGCCCATTAATTATCTAAGTAATTACCTTAAATGTCTGCTTTGCTTTGGCTGTGGAGATATAGTCACAACCATGAAGACCCTACTGAAACAAGAAGATATTAAGTTCATAAAATGCTCTCCATCTTCAATGAAGAAAGGTACATGAACGCCACCTAAAAATGCAAATTGTGATCTTTTGTGACAAAACTAAAGAAAAGCTTTTTGAAACCAACGAGAATAACTATTTCTATATTTTTCATATCTTGTAGTGAAGTTTCATTGCATAGTAATCCATATTAAACAATATGTGAGACATATATACTCTGAGAATCACCGGCTACATTGACTGTTGGCAGTTTGAAATATATATGTTAGAATTATCTTTCTTCTGGGGTTTTAGTCTCCTGTTCCAAAATAAAAGATACCTGTAAGGAAATATTTTTTGCTTAAGATGACAGATATCAAGTCTGTGTCTCAATTCTACAAGAGAAACATATCAGACTCTAGAGAATGTCTAATAAAGTCCTAGAGAAAATTGTTAAGTAAATGAAACGTTTAATTTCAATATAAAACTTTCTACTTTGGGGAAATATCCTACTATATTGTTCTGAGTTCCCTCTCACCTCACTCGTGTTGACCCCTTGCTTCCTGTCTAGGCCCTACCACTGTATTATGAAAGTAATGAACCTACCATTGCTATTTATTTATTTATTTATTTATTTATTTAAACTTCAGTTAAGTTCAGGGTAGCTGTGTAGAAAGTGCAGGTTTGTTACATAAGTATACATGTGCCATGGTATTTTGCTGCACCTATCAAGCTGCCACCTAGGTTTTAAGCCCTGCATGCATTAGCTATTTGTTCTGATGCTCTTCCTCACCTCACCTCCCCTACTCCCACAGGCCCCAGTATGTGTTGTTCCCCTGCCCTTGTCCACATGTTCTCATTGTTCAACTCCTACTTATGAGTGAGAGCAACTCCTACTTATGAGTGAGAGCATGTGGTGTTTGGTTTTCTGTTCCTGTGTTAGTTTGCTGAGGATGATGGCTTCCAGTTTCATCAATGTTCCTGCAAAGGATATAACCTCATTCCTTTTTATGGTTGCATAATATTCCATGCCTACAATTTGTTTCAATGGCAAAAACTGCAATTACTCTTGCACCAATCTAATATTTACCCTCAGAAAGTTATATGACACAGGAGGCACTCTTTTCTACTCTACCACTTTCTTTTGTTGTAATTAAAAATGTTATTTAAGTAGCATCTTAAGCTCACAATTAGAAAGATTAACTCAAAATTAGAGATTCCAAACTCACAAGGAGACAGTTTATCTGAAAGGTAATTTGTTGAAAGGCTTTCAATAGGAATCAAAGGATATGTTTCAGATTTTCTGACTAAGCATCAGGATAACAAAGTTAAGTCATCTTTGGGAAAACTGTTTCCCCTCCCATGATTAGATAGTATTATGGCTGTAATTTTTAAAATTTACTATTTAAGGCTACTTTCCCTTTTGTCTTTAGAATATTTCATCTTCACTTTTCCTCTAGTTAATATATGTATACATGTTATCTATCAGATCTATGAATGCTGTACATGAGGGAAGAGACTGTTCATGTCGCTGTTGCCAAGCTGTCAATTAAATTTCAGGTTCATCTGGAATTCTTTCAGTACTTATTGGTGGATTTATTTTTGTTACAAGATGTTGGGGAAATACAGGAGATAAATAAGCTCTTCAAGGTTGGACATGTTATTCCTTGCTGTGCTCCTTAGAATGCATGCCCCTACCTGCTTGTCATGTTGGCTGTAGGTTGTTAGAGAAATAGTAGGAGGTATGAAGGTGTTTTGTAAACATCAACATAGGAGAGGAGTTTTGTGATACATATCTTGTGGTTCTAAGTGCCTCCCTGGGCAATGCTAAAGCCCACCTTAGGTTAAGTCCTACCAGGTGGACAGACAATATGATGTGAATAAAATTGTGTGCCATATGAGTTTCCATACTTTTTCTATTAACTCTGGACCTCATTAGGAACATAAAGAGTTCCTTAAGATCTTAGCATGATTACCAAAATAGAGTCCGGGACTGAGTAACATTAGCATGCATTACACAGTGGTAGATGAAGACAAATTAATGTGTTACTTTGTCTGCATGTTACAGTTCTGGAATGAAATTCTTAGAGATCTTATGCCTAATGCAAAAGTTAGAAGACAAATTTGAAATAAGACCTGCCCTTTATCTGCCTTTAAATGAGATCTTAGAAAGACTATTCAATCGTCTCTGCATTCCCCTATAGTCTATGAAGCTAGATTTTAGGAAAAATATGATAAATGAACTATGTTGAGAGTGAAAGTTAGAGACTGTGAACCAAGGTATCCGTTTCTGAGAAAGGGAACTAATAAAACGTTGGATAGGTTGGTTTAGCAACAAAAACGAAAGGTCAGGAAGCCCATTACAAGGTGAAGTCTCAAATAATTTGTTCCCATGGAGTTTGTAGTCCCTTAAAACTTGCTAGAGAGAAGGCAGTTTCCCATAATTGGCGAGAGTGTTTGAAGGGCAAGGTGTGAGTGTGGGGCTGGGAGATTAGAAGCTGGCATGAAAAGCTGGTGTGTAAAAGAGATAGTGATGTAAAAGAAAGCTACAACTGGGAGATGAATAACACCTTGATGTAGTGATTTCTAATTGCTGGTGTTTGTTTAAAGAAAGAGACAAAATGCCATTAAATAACTTGCCAGGGTTTTTGTTGTCATTTTGCTTTGTTGTTGTTTTAATAACATCTGGAATTTCTTTATAAAGAAAATTGAATAATATATCTCTAGGACAATATGTAACCCAAATTTTCACACACTGCTCCTCCCAAAACCTACCTAAAGAGCTCCTTAAGATCTTATTCTGCTTCTAACAAGATGGCAGACTATATCATGAAACACTGTACACTGAGCCTTCAAATGAAAATGTTAATACACCGTTTCAGTGAACTAAAAGTTGCATGTGAATCAGTAAACCTCTTGCAATGGAAAGACTAGCTGTTTAGATGAAGGAGGTGCCTGCTGGGTCCAGGACCAAGATTATGTGTTTTTATTGAGGAGGTGAAATTCAAAATGTCAAGTATTAAAGGGAAATGCAAGGCAAGCTCTAAAATGACCAATCATGTAGAAACTTAACTCACTAAGTTTATGAAAAAGATAGCACTAAATGAGTCCTAATTTATCATAGTGAATCTTGTAACAGCAGCATTTCTACCACGCTTGACTATGTTCAACACAAACTCAAAATGGCCACACGTGCAAAGCATATTTCTTAATGAATCTAGCTACATCCTACTTATGCAACTTGAGCCCATGGGAGAACTATAGACAATTTATATGACAGTTATTTCACAGGATTTTTTCTTTGGCAACTAGAAGACATCAATTATTCAATAACAAAACGCATTGTGCATAATTATTTCATTTCTTTCCCCTTTGCAAAAAAATCATTCACATATCAGTATAGAACATATAAGCCAAGAAATATTCTTGTCAGAATGTCTACAAAAAGATAAAAGAAAAATCTTACAAACATTGCGAGTAGACATTACTATGTGTTGTTTACTTTGTAATTTAAGGAAAACAATGCCAAAATCAAAAACACAGTGAGCAACTATTTTCACTTACATAAAGTTTAAAAAAAAAAAAACTTCAAAAGGAAATTTTATTGTGTGAAGTTTAAATCATATAAAATTTAGATAGAAAATTTTCATAATATAATTAAACCTGGATCAATCACTTACTAACAGGATTACTTTAGGAAAATTACTAAATTTCTGTTAGCTGCAATTTCCTCATCCATAAGTTTTATAAATTAGCAATCACACTAATTTTTGTCATAGAGTACTAATGAAGCTAAATTGAGATAATGTATAAAATGAAAGTACTTTACAAACAATATAAAAGAAAGATATCTGTACTGTTATTCAAGAAACAAGACAAAAACAGTTAAGAAAAAATGTTACGTAAAAATTACTTGACGCTTAATTTTAGGAAACTTGTTTTCAAAGCATTAGTTGCTATGCCAACGTTTTCAGTTTGTACTTGGTCATATATTTAGTTTAGACCCTTTAATAAAAGTAAACAACGATACAAAATGCAAATTCATCTCTACGCTATACCATAGCATGCTCAGAAAATCCTTCCATGCCTAATGAAATTAAGAGGATTTAATCTTGACTGACCAAAGGCCATAAATATAAGTTTATAATTGTAGTAAATTGTAAATGTTCCTTAGTTTCTTCATTCCTAGAATAAATTTTTGTTTCTGGAAGACTTTTCAAGTAACGAAAAGAAAATCAACAACTATACTGAACTATACTGAACTATTGAACTATTCTTGTTGGGTTTTCTAGTTTATGTTGTTGTTGTTATTGAGGCTGTTTTGTAAGATTCTGTTTCCTGGGTGCTTTTTTTGTTTTGTTTTGTTTCATTTTTTTGACTCTAGAATAGGGATTGGCTGTTAAATTCTTTGTTTTGCCAAAGCACAAAGGCAAAGGAATAAGCAAACTAGGAGCCATGCATCGAGTATAGGTAAATTACTACTGGATTTTAAAAGTTGAGCAGTAATACTTACAAAACGACATGCCAAATGTCTATATGGTCTGAAATGGAATGAATAGCATATAATTAAAACTGGGGGCTCTGACATCAGATACATTAAATTCAAATAAAGGCTTTGACGTTTACTGACTGTGTAATCTCTGACACGCAATTAACTCTCTAACACTTAATTTCCTTATTGTTACTATTAGGATAACAACAGTGCCTACCTCAAAGAGTTGTGAGAGTTGGAAAAAAAAAAAATTCAAGGAAAGCACTTAGACATCAGATACACAGAAAGTATTTGGTGAGTGTTAAATAGTATATGATACAGTTTAGATATTTGTCTCCTACCCATGTCTCATGCTGAAATGTAATCCCCAATGTTAAAGCCAGGACCCTGGGAGGTGTTTGGATGATGGGGGCAGATACCTCATGAATGGCTTGGACCATTCCTTTGATGATAAGTGAGTTATCGCTGAGTTCACAGAAGATTTGGTCATTTAAAAGTGTGTAGCACCTCCCCTCCCACTCTC